GGGGGTGTGGGGGGGTCATCAGTGTCAGTCACAGCACGGAGAGGGTGGAGGCGGTCACAGCAACAGAGCAGGGAACACCTGGAGAAGGTGTAGGTGGGAATGATGCTGCCTGTGCGGCGTTTCTAACGGGATCGATTCTGCTTCTTTATTTTTATCTTTTCATTTTATTGTTTATTAGAATAAAAAAGTGACCTTTAAGCTCCAGTTTTACTTTGCTGGTTATAAGCAAAATAAAAACGTGGACATGGTGAGCAGTCGCTTTATTTATACGTCTGTTAGTACAGTATGAGTGATGATGTCATCAGATGATGTCATTAACAATGCTCCCAAAGTCTCCAACAGAACAAACACTGCTGTAAAGTTTTAATATGGGAGTCAATGGGGACTCACTGCTGCCTCCGGTGGTTTTCTGAGATCACCTGGATTCATCAGACTGAGGATCCTCCAGGTTTAAGTGAACAGGAGCACGTGATGACTCCACGTCCACTCCACTGTGGACGCTGCCATTGAACAGGAGGGTCCTATCAGCAGAGCTGTGCTGGGGTCACACAGGGTCACACAGGTCACACAGGTTCGGTGGACCTGAGAGCAGCAGCAGCTGCATCTGTGAGAGGATACAGGTGTGATTAATGTTCAGGTCATCGTCACACAAGCCTCAATGTGCTGCTTTCACTCGCTCTTCATCATTTACGGCACTTTCAGCCTGACACTCACGCTAACGAGATGCTAACGAATCGTTCTCTGTCGCAGATGTTTCTGATGTGTTTGTGTGTTTGTGCAGCCGTCACTGTCGGACTCAGAGGACCTGGAGGAGATGGAGCGGCTCAGGAAGGAGCACATCGAGGCTCTGAGGGAGATCAAGAGGCTGCAGGTAGACTCACGCCTGAGTCATTTTGTAGAATTCAATCATATCCAAAGAAAAGTGGGCTTCAGTAAATATTCTAAAGTGTCGGTTCTGATCTGCAGGAGCAGCTGGTCGAGTCTCAGAGAGTCCACCATCAGATGGAGGAGGAGCTCAGCAAGGTCAAACAGGTGAGTCACGCCTGCTGCACTCATCCGACCTGCGCACGTGTGTGAAAACAGGAAGTCATACACAGGTCATGTGTTGGTCAGTGGCTGTGGTGGATGCTGGAGTCAGGAGTGTGTGTGAGACGAGGTGTGATCAGCAGGTGGAGCCCTTCATACACACACACACACACAAACCGACCTGCAGGTGTGATGATAAAGAGCTTGTG